AAAGATGCAAACTAGCTGTGTCATTTGAATGGATGATGCCAGCTAAGGTCGTAATAAGCAGTTATTAGATTTAGGGGGTGTTTGGTTCATCAAGTTGGAATGGATTGATATGCAATCTCATACTAGAGAGGTATGGATTCTAAAACCCATACTAGTCCAAAGTTGTTTGGTTTTATTGTTGGAATGGATTCTATCCTTCATTAATAGAATGGATTGTGAATCTTAGGGGAAGAGGTGGGTATGAGATTCCATGGGTATGTGAGGGAGTTAGAACCCCTTGGGTATGAGATTCCATTACTAAAAGTCTCAACCAAACAAAAAACTAGATGGAATGGATTCTAACTCCATTGCAACCCATTCCAAATGATTCAACCAAATGACCCCTTAGTTGCCACAAATTGGATCCGGAAGAGGGATTTGGGATTTTGGGGTCAGGAGGGAAGCCTTGAGTTGAGTTGTGAATTTTGCTGCCACAGACATGGTCACAGTCAAATAGTCAATTAGTCAAGCATGATACTTGTATATGACAAGTGGCTTCTCTGTTGCCTTCTACATTTGGCTTCATTTTATATTAGTTTCTTTTGATGGTGAACTTGACCAGTGCTGAATTTGTAATCACTGTTTTCCATTTCAGTTTGATCCATATCGTGGTTTGTCAAAGAGAGCCTTGACAACTTGGTTTGCCCCAAGTTCACTTCTACATAACTCATTGTTCTTATTCTACATTCAAGCTGATGTCTAAATGACTAAGAAGCAGCAAATTGCAATATATACCACTGCCAGCTTACCATGGATGACTGGTACTGCTGTAAATCCATTGTTTCGTGCTTGCTATCTTGCAAAAGATGGGGAGAGAAAGGTTACTCTGGTAATTCCTTGGTTGTCTCTTAAAGATCAAAGACTTGTATACCCTGACAACATAAAATTCAAGTCAGCCCTAGAGCACGAGGCGTATGTGCGCAAATGGCTTGAAGACAGGACTGGATTCATATCTCGGTTCGAAATAAAATTTTATCCTGGAAGGGTTAGTACTACTATTAGACTAATGTGTTATGTCTAATGAGTAATTTGTCTGCTGCAAAGTGTTGCTGTTGTGGTGTCAATGATAGCCGAACTTTTATGTTATTATGGTTGGATTTGTTCAAGCTTGAGAACATTGATGTTAGTATGGTTTGGGTCATTCAAGCATGAAATGTTGATGTCAGTTAGGTAGGTTTCGTTCAAGCTTAAATATATTGATGTTAGTATGCTAGCTCCATTCAATAGCTTAAAGAGATTTTGTGCCCTAAATAAATCAATTTCTCATACCAAAATCTATAGAAACCTATTGAAGAAGGGAGGACAGGAGAAAGTAATGGAGCCATGCCTAATGCCATTTTAAACATAATGATGCTGTCAATGTCTGCTTCATTGGTTTTTTGTTGCAGAAGTTTTATTTGTGTCCTGTCTCCTGTGTATACATTTGTTGAATCCTTAAATACCTAATTTTTCTCCCTAAAATGCAACATTTGTGCATGATATATTTGGTGTTGAGGAAGTAATCTATTTCTTATTTAAAGTTTTTGTTTTCCCTAGTACTAACAACTGTAGACCCCCCTTACTGCAGTTTTCTACAGATAAAAGGAGTATTCTTCCTGTGGGAGATATTACTGAAATTATATCAGATGAAGAGGCGGACATTGCTGTCCTTGAGGAACCTGAGCATCTAACATGGTATCATCATGGAAAAAGATGGAAAGCAAAATTCCGGTTGGTCATTGGGATTGTCCACACCAATTACCTAGAATATGTTAGACGAGAGAAAAATGCTGCCCAAGCATTTCTTCTGAAGCATATAAATAGTTGGGTAATCGGTATCTATTGCGACAAGGTAGATGTCTGAGACTCTGCTCTTTTGCATAAAAATTGGTTTTCTTTTACTTGCATTGCTTAACTTAGTAAAGTCTTTTCTATATTAAGGGATGTAAATGATATTAAGAACTAATATCAACATATGCATGGTGTGAACAATATCTTTCTATTAATGATAGTTTCCCACTCTAAGTCATTTATGCGTTAATAGATGTTTCTCATACATTTTCTATTCTGATCAGCACTACTACTTGCTTTAGAAAATAATAGGTTATCTCATATTTGGTGTTGGTGGTCAAAGTAAGCTAATTGTGAGTCCGTGAACATTTATATTGGGACGACATCACTGGTAGCCTGGTAGTTATACCAGTAGCAAACAAACTGTATTGAGTTGATTTTTGTCTTTTGCTTCATTCTGAGGATAGATTTTTCTATATTTTTTAACACAGATTGGTAGAATTAGTCTTTTCTGCTGAATACATTTAGACACTGAAGGATATTTTGGATATATATAGATGGAGACTCTTTGGATTCGAGAAGCCTTTCACATTTGCCTGATTTCATATTAGCTAATTGATACAAGGTCATTAAGCTCTTAATTGCCTTAGAGAAGTTCATAATAATGTAGATGTTGAGATTCTTATAGGACTAGCTGAAAGTCTTGATGGAAGTTGTCCCTTTGATGGCCTAATAGTGGGTAGGTTTGAGTATAAACGATATCAATCCCTTGCTTCTAAAAGGGACCATAAATCATGTTGTTTGAGATCTAGTGGAAAATGAGTGAATTGAGGGAAATTTTTCTTGCTCTTAAGCTTACCAGGGTCCATCTTTATGCAAACTGTAGTCTGCAGAATCTTCCTGTGAAAGACAGTAGTCAAATTTTCTTTGCAGTACTGATTAGAGACTATTCATTTTGCCTCTTATCATCTTAATGTTTAAACTTCCTCCCTTCAATAATATGGAGAACTTGCAGTTTTGCGACTCTGTATAGTCACCTGTAAAGTGTGAACGAACTAATTCCTGTTCATGCATCTGAAATGTATGGCTGTTCAATCTATTTTATGCGCCACCTCGACTATTTATTTATTTATTTATTTCATATTTGTTATACTTTCTAATCTTAGTGATGACTCATCATTAACAGGTAATTCGATTGTCTGCAGCCACTCAGGACCTTCCAAGATCTATAATATGCAATGTCCATGGAGTAAATCCCAAATTTCTTGAGACTGGCACAAAAAAGAAAGAGGAACTTGAAGATGGGAAACCCGCCTTCACTAAAGGGGCCTATTACATAGGTAAAATGATTTGGAATAAAGGATACAAGGAGCTGCTTAAGCTTCTTAAAGACCATCAGAAAGAGCTAGTTGGTCTGGAAGTAGACCTTTATGGAAATGGGGAGGACTCTAATGAAGTCAAAGTAGCAGCTAAGAAACTGGAACTGCCTGTACGAGTCCATCCTGGACGTGATCATGCTGATCCCTTGTTTCATGAGTAAGTTCTAGCCTCATGTCCTATATTCCCATTTTCACAATGTTTTCAGCAAGTGACAATAAATTAGGTTCAATTTTAACGTTTTCACCAGAAAGATTCTTTTTGTATTGTCTGTCAATAAAAAGGACCTCATATTTGCTGTAGATTCAACTCCTTTCTCACCTGATATCGAGTATTTTCATAAAGCTAGCAAAATGATGGTGTGCGATACACTTGTACAGGCCTGTGGCCCATGCCTTGGTCATTTCTTGCTGAGGTGGTTCCCCCTAATTTTCTTTAAATGCTTTTGGAAGGATCTTAAGCTCATGGATGAAAATCTCCTACAAGGGCCTTCTTAGTCTTGAGTGGTTGGCAACAGCCAACAGGGCATAGGCCAAGAGATGTAAGTGAATGAGGCCTTGTCAATGACCTTACCTAGCGAAATAAGGAGACCACATTAGTTTTGTGGGGGTGTGAGTCAACTAATACTCTTATTTAGATAGTATAGAGTATAAACACCATATGCCCTTGCTCAGTCTACCTATTCTAGTGGAATTCACAGCTTCTTAGTGTCGTATGTTGTCTGTACTCTGTAGCCATATTTGTATTTGAGTTGTCGGGCTTCTACCATGATGTTGTTCTCTCCAGTGATTTTGTGACATTGATGGTCAAATTAATTATTTAGCATCCCTTACTGTTACCGAAATAGTAAAGTTTACAAGTTGTAGTTCTTTGGAACTCCTTTCTCTTATATTTGTTTTGTTGCACTGTAATTTTCAGTTATAAAGTGTTCCTCAATCCAAGCACAACAGATGTAGTCTGCACGACAACAGCGGAAGCATTAGCCATGGGAAAGATTGTCGTGTGTGCCAACCACCCATCTAATGAATTCTTTAAGCAATTCCCTAACTGTCGTATGTATGGCGATGGTGAAGAATTTGTTGCAACAACACGTAAAGCATTGGCTGAACAGCCAGCCCCCTTGACTGATTCACAGAGGCACGAGTTGTCATGGGAAGCTGCAACAGAACGATTTCTAAAGGCTGCTGAGTTGGATCAAGGGACAACCCCCAAACTCTCTAGAACATCCTCTAAAAAGTTTGCGTCCTTGTCCTCCTCCAATGTGAAGAAAAAATTGGAAGATGCCTCAGCATACATACATAATGCAGTATCGGGTACTGAGTTTACACGAACGGCATTTGGTGCTATCCCTGGCACCTTGCACCCTGATGATGAACTATGTAAGGAATTGGGATTACCTTCTCCTACAAACTCAGGGGCACAGTGCTGCAGGAAGTGAGTCTTTCGGGCTTGATTTTCTTGACTCAGTTTAACTGTTGTATTGTTGTAGACATTACAAATTGTATGTCTTTCTCTCCCCATTCTCCACCACTTTGATTTTCTTTTCTTTATTGGGTGAAGTTGCCACATCTGTAAATTTAACATGTAGAACATATTCTTTTGTTACAATCTTAATGCGAGTGAACCTGGTGTTAATCTTACAGCGGTTTTTTCCATTTTGTTCCAGAAACGTTTCATTTTTTGACGGGATTGGAAACTTGTACCTCAAGTTTTCCATTAGTTAACCCTATGGCAAATCCATATTTATCTTATTTTTAATTTTAAGAAATGAATGCAAATTTCCATAAAAAAATTTCTTCTACTTACACCAACAATTGAAACCAAGTAAAAGGTAGATTATATTAACCAACAATCTTGAATATTGAAGAAATGTGTTCCATTAAAACTTTTTCCCAGTCATAATTTATAAACAAACTCAGTTACTCAGGTGATTGGTGAAGTACTTCAAAATTGAAACAAACAGAGAAATCTAAAATTATGACAAAAAGAACTGTCCTAGCAGTAAAGAAAAGTAAGTCTGAGGTCTTCTGATTGCTGAAATGCCAAAGAAACAAGTAAATTGCACCACCACCTGCAGTAGCTAGAACTCTCTCATTTAGTTGTATGATGATTCTTTCCATCCGAATTCCTCCTCTGGAAGACCACGGCTATGGTATGCCTGCGATTAATTATATAGATCAATGATCACGCATTGGGGATATTGATGGAGTCTTAAGTGAGACGATCTCACACTAGTTAATTGTGAGGAGTTAAAATGGTTACAGAACATCACCATAATGTCACAATAAGTTATTGTGGTTACCTCGGGAGTGAAAGTAAGTCCGACTTTGATTTCCCCCTTGAATTCTCCATCTTTGACTACATTGTAAGATGTAGGTGGAAGACTTCCTTCCTCAAAGACTACACTCAGAGGAATGCTGCAATGACAAACAGATGAAAATTTTCAAAATTGTCTTCAGTATTCATCTTACTAAAAGACGCGATTTCTAATCTTTTATTGACTATAATCAAGGCTATCAGACAACGTATATCTATCTATTTATCTTACTTAGCCTCGCCAACAAAATCATCAGCAGTAAAGGTATCCTTGTCCATAAGTTTGAGATGGAGTTCAGGAACATGTCCTGTGACAGTAAACAAAAATGTCTCGTTCCATTCCGGGGCTGACCCTTCATCTGCTGCCATGGTTCATCAGTATGACATGCTTAGTTAGTTTTCGGCTTTTCCATTATTATTTGCACATAAGGGATGGCTAGTACTTATCAATTAGTTGCACATCAAATGAATTATGTGACCATATTGGTTCGAGTTCTAAGAGCCTAAGACGCACCTTTTGCAATGCTACTCTTCTGTTCTTGAGTGCGGCAAGTAAGAATGACATATGGATCCATGCTAGCTGAATTACATCAACAAACATTCAACCAATTCACCAATTCATAAGTATGATATAATGTCAATTATAAGAGACAGCTTGTTGGGGTGGAAAGATTCCATGTTATTTGACCTAATGCTAAGGTAGTTATTGAACACAATGTTTTCTTTAGAGAAAATCCCCATGTTACCTTTGCAACAAAAATCAATGATATTAATGTTTATTTTTCCAAATGATGGTATTGTATGGACAAGATTCAGACTCAAATAATGAAATCTCAATAAAACTAGAAAGAAATTAGGAATCATGATTTCATATCATCAATGGCCAAATAGCCCACGTTCATTATATTAATTTTTTTTTTTTTTTTTTTTTGACAACAGCTATTATTTTTATTTTGTTTGTTATGAATTTGAACGAAAAAAACTTGTTCACCTAATAGAAAAAAAATTCACATCTCCGCAGATTTATAGAGAGCCACCAAGTACAACGACATAACGAAGTACATTATGTAGCCAATAAAATGTAAAGACTTTAACAAAAAGAGGGTCAAAAGATGATGATCAAAATTCTCCCGCAATTAGAGGTGGGTTAGGTTGAAAGAAAGTTGACCAACAAAATTATGATCATAAGTAAATAACAATAAATTCATCATAATTTCCCTAAAATAAAAAAAATCAATTCATCATAATCGCAAATTTCTTGTCCTAATTATTATTATGCCCACCATTTAATCAAATAAAAATCTCAACTTTCTTTGATCAAAATCTCAAATCTAATAAATCAACATTTCATTTTCTTAATGTGAGATCAAGAGATATCATAACATCAAAATCAAAGATAAAAATCGATTATAATCATACATATAAAATGATCAACAAAAATTATAAAATGAAAAATAAAGAGAGAGAGAAAATTACAGAGGAAATCAGAGTTGTCAAGGCCTTTGGCAGAGACGAGGAGGACTTCAAGCTTTCCCTGAGCCATTTTTCTTCAAATCCCAAAAATAAAAATAAAAACTTTGGTTTATAAAATTTGATTTATAAAATTAATTGGATTTAATTTAATGTTAATGAAGAATATTGTTTTGTCTCTCTTTTGGTTTTTCTCGAGTGTGGAGAAAAAACGAGGAGAGACAGAAAACAGAGAATGGGAATGTCAAAGACAGAGTTGATTTATATGGGACCTTAATTTATTAGTCTCTCTTAATTATTTTTATAGACCCATTTTCCAGCTTGTCACCATTCTTTTTGAATAAAAAATTTACAAAAAATATTTGGTAGGCTCTCTTTTCATGTGTCCAAAAATTAAGTTAGCCGTCTGCCGAGGGCGGCTATTACATTGTAGATTTGTGGTACCGAGCATATAGGAAGGAGCACCAAATATAGTGTCACCCCTATAAATCTATAATTGATACGAGTTCATGTATGTAATATTTCGCGTGTTGTTTTGGCTCGAGTCAACTATTATATTGTTGGAATCATTTTAATCTATGGTTTTTGAAAACTCCTGTATAAATGCTTGTCCAACCTCCGTCCTTAAAAAAAAAAAGCCAAATTTTTATGTTTTCTGCCTAAAGTCGAATCGGGCCCATCTTGATCACCTCCGGCCAATTATATGAATTACTCTACAAAGTAATTCATATAGTGGTAAGAATTGTTATCAATCCCTTAGAGGCAATTTGAGGGCAAACATTTTCTTACACTTCCCCCCACTCTAAAAAGGGTTCCGATCCTTGCCATGCTGTTGATATGCTTCTTTCGTTTTTTTTAAGTGCATTACTTTTATGTTGGATATCTACTTTTTTTTTTTTTTTTTTTTTTTTGCGTAGTATGAAATACTTTATGGTCCTCACTCCTATTTTATCTCTTTTCAGCTCTCACACCCCTAAGTATCTAGAAAACCACATGAGTATTTTCACCCAAACAACTCTGCATAAGTGAATTTTAAACCGAATTATTGCTAACTCACATATTGTATTACTTCAGACGAATTTTTTTTTTATTAAGGTATTTATTGATCGAATCTATGATGTAATTAGTTCTAAAGTGATATGTATTTATATTGATATTTTAGTTTTTTTAGGAATGCTTTGCAAGTGTCGTTTGACTTCCCAATCACTTCAATTTTATAATCTTTGATTTCCCAACAAGCACAACTTATACAATCTTGAATATTTTATTCCATTAAACCTATTTTAGAGAGAGATTTCCTATTTTTTTTAAGTCACAACCACAAAAGTGTAACAATCAAACACAAAAGGGTACGAAACAATTTTTGTGTGATGAGCCTAAGCGGGTCGATCTCATTGACTCATTGGATACTTTCCTAAAATATCTAGATCAACCCTCATTAAAGATGCAAACGTAAATGAGACCAACCACTCTAATAATGTAACCGTGCATAGTACTAGAATTGGTAGTTGTTTACATTATTATTGACAATTTATCACAATCATTGCATCTTTACATAGACTTGTTCTTTTATCGTCTAAAACCCTTCCGGATGCGCTGAAAGCTCGTTCGGAGGCGACGGAGGAAACTTGGATAGCAAGAATGTCTCGTGCCATTGCCGCCAAAGTTGGATGCTTCGAGCTTTGTTGTTTCCACCATGCAAGGAGGTCGAGGCTGTTTATCTCATCGTCGTCCATGCCTTTGGTGAAGTCGTAACTCAGGTACATCTGCAACTCCGAGACGTCGCTTTGCGTTCTCTTGATTGATGAATCACCTGAAAACCTTGAAATAAAGTTAGTAGCTTGTGAAAATAAATGTTTGGCCTTCTTACTTACGTTTTTGGATGGTTGGGAAGGCCCTGAGCGAGGAACGGTGCCATATTTGGCTTCATAGACTCTATATAAAGCAAAAAACTGATCCTTCACATTAGTCTTATAGTTTTCTACATCATCGTCAAGAAACATGCATTGAAAGTAAATGTCAACTAACATAAATGTGTTTTCATACTTTTGCCTAGGATCTAATATGGAAGCAAAAATATAAATCAAAGGAATCTCACTATAATATTTACGCCACTTTTTTTCCATTGCTGGAAGATACTGATCATAATCACTTTGATGGCGATGATCAGCGAAAAGTTGGGCGAGTAAGCATGCATTAGAAAGAAAGTTTTGAGCACAAGGATTGTAAACAGTAGAAAAACAATACGTCATGTTATATAATAACTGTAAAAATTGCATATATCTTTCACAGTTATTCCAATCATCATCATACAAAGCATTTTGTGGAAATTTTTGGTTGTAAAATAATGTTAACGGGCCCTTGTACTCAATTGCCTTTGTTAACATGTCATAGGTGGAATTCCACCTAGTTGGGCAATCGGTTCTAATTTTTATTACCCTTATCTTTTGTTGTTTTAGAAAACTCTTCCATTCTTGGTATCTCATGTTAGAGCTATTAATAGACATAATAGCATCTCTGATTTTGCTGTAGTATGGGCCAATTGCCCGAACTCCATCCTGTACACATAAGTTAAGTACATGGCAAACACATCTAGTATGAAGAGCTTCACCGTCTAATAGTACAACGGTTAAGTTTTGTTTGATAAGATTAGCTGTGTATGTCATAGAGGTTGCATTATCAAAAGTCATAGACATCATTTTATCTCGAAGGTTGTATTCGTCTATTGCTTGCATTAAATGGTGAGCAATGTTAATGCCGGTGTGTGGGTATTCCAGCATTTTGAAATGTATTATTCTTTTTTGTAACATCCATTGATCATCTACCCAATGGCAAGTCACACATAAATAGTGATATTTATAACCACTATCCCAAGAATCGGCTGTTAAAGATATTCTACAGTTAAGGTTACTCAATTCGGCTTGTAACCGGACTTTGTACTCTAGGAAATTTTTCATTGCGGCGGAACGAACGGTTTTCCTAGAGATTCTTTTATGTTGGGGTTGTAGTGCTTTGTTAATGTAGGTGTTGAATGCGTCACTTTCCGAGAAAAGAAAAGGTTGTTCGGCGTGTACTATCATTTTTCCTAGTTCATCCCTATCCCTCTCATAGTTGTATGTAAAGTCGTATGGATGGAATTGGGAAATTTTGGGCTGGGTTGGATCACTAGCTGGTTTTGCACAAGCTTTCATGTGTCTAGATAAGTGTCCCGTCCCGTTTTTGGTAACTGCCGTGAATACACTATTACATGTTTTACATTTTGCCCATTGTTCACCATCTTTACTTAGGACAAAATAACGCCATACCTCACTCCTTCGGTTTTTCAAAAGTAGCATCTCAGTTTCGGTTAACCATTCATGATGTGTGTGATGGTTAGTAGTGGGACTAGTGGGAGTGGCAGTAGAAGGGGTAGAACCGGAGGGAATTCAGGTACTTTCTTGGCTACCTTGGCTAGAACAATAGTTTTGTTGATCACCGATATAATTAGGTGGAAATTGGTATGGTGGTAGTGGAAATTGGTTTAGTGGTGGTGTTGGAAATCCCGACGTATTATATGGCTCATAGCCCGGGGGGAAGTAAATGGGGTCATTGGTTTGACTCGTAATTTGGGGGCTCGTTGTATTTGGTGGTTCCCTAGAACTACTACTACGGATAAGTCGGCCTTTCCCCCTAGACCTAGATGATGGGTTGTTCGATGCCATAATTAACAATTAATTTTTTAATAAAAAGTGGTTAACTATAATAATAATAATTAATAACAACAATTTTAACAATAAAAATATCAATAATATTAATTAATAACAACAACTATAACAATAACAATAACAACAAAAATAAATAATAACAACAATTGTAACAATAATAATAATTAATAACAACAATTATAACAACAACAATAACAATTAACAACAATAATAATTAAACAAGATTATTCTAATAATAACAATAAAACAATAATAAATTTAAGATTAGTTTAAATCTTACAACCGTGTTTCAACGCTCCACTAATTACGATTACGAACTTTTTAATTTTTTCCGATATTAGGAAAATAATTAGAGAATTTAAGAGAATAATTAGAGAATTTAAGAAAATAAGGATTATTAGAGATTTAGAGAATATAAGAGATAAGAAGAAGAGATTGTGATTTTGTGATTTGGGAATGAAATGGAGGTGAGTATTTATAGAATTTTTGGGGAGCAAATTGGCAAAAAACTAGCCGTTTTTTAGCCGTTTTTTTTGGCTTATTAAGGAGCTAGAATAAACGGTAACATTACCGTTGGCCCGCGGGCCGTGCCTACGGGTCGGCACGACGGGCCAGCACGGCGGGCCATGCCCGTGATCGTGCCGGGCCGTGCCTGGGAATTCTCAACCCTGTCCGTGGCACGGCCCGTGGCACGGGAGTTGAACTTCGTGCCGTGCCGTGCTTGAATTCGGGCCGTGCCGGGCTGCGCCGAACGGCGGGCCGCGGGCCAACCCGGCCCGTGCCCAGGTTTACATCACACTACCACATACTCCACTTGCTTTATTTAGGACAAGTGATCTCTCAATCTTTTTACTTTCTCTCTCCTAAAAATAGTGGAATTGCAATAATGGATGATTCTAAGAAAAAAGTAGACCATCAACATGAGCAACAAGTAGCTTTAGATGAAGCTGCTGCAAATAATGCATTAAAGTTCTTTGAACAATTGGGCAGCTCACTTGAGTCACTGCCCTTAAACACCAATGGTCACGACTATATGTCACAACTAATGCTTCGTTTTCTCAAAGTTGATTCCATTTCTCGTGGTCGTGTTACTTGCTCCTTTTCCGTTCTACCTCCTTTTGTGGTAAGTTACTACTCTCGTACTAAGTATATATCAGAACTATATATCATACATCAATTATGCACATTGTTTTGTTTTTCCTTATCATACGTAATACTCGGATTTGTATGTTGTGTATAAGTGCGGTCAAAGGTAACATAAATATGTTTATGTTAATGCTATGTTCTCTTCACCTAGAATGTAAGGTGCAAGTCTTTGATCTGTATTACTAGTATTAAGGTTTGGTCTAAATTTTATTTGATCTGAACTCTTGTATGATTGGTTTGTACACTAATGCTTAAAAATACTTTTAGACGGGATATTACAGGATATATATCAATGTTAAATTTTCTAAAATTTTAATTTTCAACAAATACTCCGTATATGAAGATGTAGTCCAATCTAAATCTTTTGATCTGACTGTATAATTAAGTATGTAATACACCTACCATTTCTTTTTTGGAAACTTCAAAGTTTCAATAACAATATGCGTGTGATGAGTGTAATGAAAAGGTGTATAAGAGAAATGAAAGAGATAGAAAATGATACGAAGTACTCGTATATTCTATGATTTTCAAGTATTCCATATGTTTGGCTTAGAGTCCCATGGGACAAGAGTCCTTTGATTTTAATTACATCGTCAGGTACAGGCGACCGTATAAATTGAAGTCGTTCAAAAGTTTTATACCTCGTACGTGCTAGTGTGCCACTACACTTTTATTTGTACGTGACGATCATTGAGTAATTAAAACTTCATAATCATGTATGGTGTTTTGTTTCATTCAGAACTACTATGAGGGGTTGCAAGGAGGAGTAGTGGCAACTGTAGCCGAAAGGCTAGCCACAGCGTGTGCTCGAACCATGGTAGGGGAGGAGAAGCCATTGTTTCTTGGTGAACAAAGCATATCCTACCTTTCCGCTGCTTCAATGAACGTAAGTCATAGAATATAAACTAGACAATTTTATTGCAATTACGAGTTACTCCGTATTAATTATCTAAGAAGTACTATATGTGGCGCAGGCTGAGTTGGTTGCTGATGGAAAAGTTTTGAGGAGTGGAAGAAACTTAACAGTAGCATCAGTTGAAATCAAACTAAAAGAGACGAAGAAACTGCTTTACATTTCTCAAGCTACTTTCTATCACCTCCCTATCTCAAAATTATGAAGTGTATATGCTAGATTTCTTTGTCAAAAATCCTATCGATTAATAGTACTTATATAGTTATATTAGGAATTTAGGGTCATTAGCTATGAAGAAGTGTCATGTTCTTTGGCTCTTCAGAAGCTCGTTCACATTAGAGGTATTCGACGTGGTCTGTCATAAAAGACCCTAGGCCTACACGCACATCTTATAGGTATGTACCACGTGTATCATATGAACGCATCTAATAATTTGTACGTGTTAGTTCTCTATAGGAGACATCGTGTGCACTATATTTATGAGAAACCTCTTTATTTTAAGGAGAATGTCTTTATGTGAGTATCATATAAGTTTTATAAGTACATTAATATCAAGATGATTTTGGTCATCATAAAAATGACTATCAAATCCAGGCTTCCATTCCATTATTCATACAATTCACTCCATTAGCTAGGAATAAACAATTGTATGTAAAGATTGTAAACAATAAAACAAAAGTAACATTGATTGGTGTTGAGTATCAAACACAACACCAATATAGTATTATTCTGCTCCGTTTTAGTTGCAATATTAAGATAATAACTCTATTCATACTCTTTCAATTTAAGTCATACTTTGATATATGCGTAAGAAAAATTATAATATGTTGTTAGATTTATCTCAATTTCTAGTTACTTTATTAAACAATCAATTTAGGTGTTTACGTAACTGTCTCCTTACATTGGCTTAAGGTAGCCACGGACGTTAATCTGTTATGTAACTGACTAATGACCGTATATGATTCTAGATAATACAATATGATCTCAGGATGCACTCCTACTACCCCGATAATTTTTACATCAAAGCTTAAAATCTACAAAAATTGGTCCGATTTCATGTTTTATATCCCTTTCATATTTTAATACGAAATTTTACAATTCAATTCAAATCCTATATAGTCTTAAAATAGAAACCTTACCAATAGCATAATGTTTATGTGCTCGCAAAAGTACGTATAAACAAATCACCAAGTATTTATCGTGAGACTATCTCATACAAGAGTATAGAGACGAGGCCGTTTTATTACCTTTACCTCACATGTACAATCGTACCTACCAACAATGGCTAAGTATTGGCGCATAGCGCCTATATACTTTAGAAACAAATAGGATGACAAAAAATACCACTACATGCATAATAAATGACATGTGATAGGTATTTTGAGGGAAAATATTCAACGATATATGATGGCAAAAAGTACCACTACATGCATAATAATACACTAAAAGTACTATTAAGACAACTTATAATTTAATGACACATTATACATATATAATAGTACACGAAAATATACCACCGTAGAGAAACATCAAATAAAAACAAAATAAAAACCCAAAAATACCCTCGTATATGCATGCCTAATAAATAGCGCCTAGATTCACTGACCAACAATAATAGGAGGACCCCTAATTCCCGTCCCCCAATCTCTAACTTTCTCTCTCCTCAAAAATCATACTCATTATTGGGGGAAAATAGCGATGGAAGATTCTAAGAAAAAGTTGGAGCAACAACAAATTGAAGAGGAGGAGACCATTGAATCATCAACACTGCAGTTCTTCGAAGGTCTGGGCATCTCTCTTGAACTCCCAAAAATTTCGAGTAATCACGACTTATTATCAGAATTATTGATCAATCTTCTCAAAGTTGATTCCATTTCTCGAGGCCACGTTTCTTGCTCCTTTTCCGTCTTACCTTCTGTTGCCGTAAGCTTCACTATTCTACTAATTTAACATTTTTTGATGATTATATTCTATTTTACTGCTAATTGTACTTGTTAATTATTTTTTTCGAATTTGGTGAGTTGTAGTTTATGAGTGTGTATGATCCCAATGAATTGAATTTCAGTGTTATTATATACGGCGTTATTAGATTTGTTCATATAAGGAATAATACATTTTCTTCAAATATTTTGGAGATTTTTGCTTATTTTAGAAAAATATGCTTATTATACGAAGTATAACAATTGTTTAGGTGCATAGGGAGTACAATAATTCGAAAATGTTCATGAAATGAGTAGTTGAAGTTTATGAGCATAAATTTGCAATCAAAACAAATATTAGGCTAAATAATAATGTAAGAATTTTGAATTGGTGGCGTTGTTAACTTGTTATTATCTTATACAGTTCGAATTATGTTCTTGGTCTTCGATTTTGATTTATATATTGTAGAATGAAGTTAGATACTATGATCAAAGAGTAATCAACTTAATTGTTATAAACATGTTTTGTGTTTTGTTTCAGAACTACTACAAGGGGTTGCATGGAGGAGCAGTGGCAAGTATCGCTGAAAGGCTAGCCATAGCGTGTGCTCGAACCATAGTAACAGAGGAGAAGCCGCTGTTTCTTGTTGAGCTGAGCATTTCCTACCTTTCTTCTGCTCCCATGAATGTAAGTTACCTGAATACTACTTTGGACCAATCTCAATGGAAACTGGGAGATTGTATTGCAGTGACTATCTAAGTTGATCATCTAATTTGTAAGTACTAAATGTGATGCAGGCCGAGTTGAGTGCTGTTGGATCAGTTGTGAGGAGTGGAAGAAACTTAACCGTAGTATCAATTGAAATCAGACTAAAAGAGACGAAGAAGCTGCTTTACACTGCTCAAGCTACTTTTCATCAACTCCCTGCAGCAAAATTATGATATGAGTATTTGAAGAGCTATATTCTTATAACTTTCTTCAAAAGGAAATCCCATGTTGTGTAGTAGTCGTAATTTATATAAGAGGGTAGAATTTTATATCAAGGAAACATTGAAACTTTTCAACCTCCAAAGTTTCCACAAAATTACCATTAATTACATGTTATGTTGATACATTTCAGGATGAAGGCACTCTACAAATATCTCCCATAGTCCCATTAACAAAGTAGCTCATAGGCAAGAACCTCGTACAAATTTGGCGTAAAGTTATAATACATCAGTGAGTGAAAATTTTGCCTATAACTAGGCTATCTGAGAGATAACAAAGGATGGACTAGCACGAAGAATAGCTCTGAGCAACACTTTGATATTTTGGCCGAGGGCTTATCATTGCCATGCTTCAATCTCTGTAACTGCATCCTATACCACCATGATGGTCATCAATCTTTTAGCTTCAGTTGCTTGACTTGCAAATTTAGCATGCAGTTTCTAAATCTTAATCTTATTCAGTTGGCTAAATCTTGTGAAGATACATACAGCACCTAAGCAAAACAAAGTAACTGATTGATCATTCTTTGAACATCTTATAAATAATTTCCCCTTCTGGCTAAATGAAAGGAAGGGATGTTCCTGACCAATGTATTGCCACATTAATAAATCACCCGAGATAATCCCATTGTGATAGGGAGGGTTACGGGAGGGTCCATATGAAACAACCTTACGATGATAGGCAACTATTACTCTATGTAGGATAGATGGACTGATATGAATGGTTTTAGTCACTTCAGAATTCAGATGCATGTGCATGTTAACCAAAATTAGGGCCATGAATATAGCCTCTCACCAATTACACATTATGGAAATATGGCATCAACGAAGGCTTCAGCGTCAAAAGGTTGAAGATCTTCCAGGCCCTCACCAACACCCACAAATTTCACAGGAATGCCAAGCTCATCTACCACGCTGACCTGCATGCCAATTTAACAGTCGAGATGAATACCAAAGGAATCGAATAATCATGTCCAGAAAAGATTTGGATTAAAATTCATTACCACGCAACCACCTCTTGCAGAACCATCAAGTTTTGTCAAGATTAATCCAGTCACTCCAACAACCTGCCAGTGAAGAGATCTAACAAATCAGATATTGGCAATTGATTCCTCAATGAAGGGCAGAGATGGATCATCAAGCTAGGCAACTGGAACATTACAGGCATTACAGCCAAACAAAGCAAATGCGCTTGCAGTATAAAAACAAGGTTAGGGTCAATACTTCATTAAACTCCCTGGCCTGAGGAAGCATATTTAAACCAGTTGTTCCGTCCAAAACAAGCAGAATCTCCTGCGAAATCGCAACCCATTCCGGATTATAGCATTTCACAACTACTGTAAGACATTCAATTAAATAGCAACTCTAATGATATGGAAAGTTAATAAGCTTCTTACATTAGGAGCACCGGAAACTACTTTACCCACAGCTTTTTTACAAGCTACCAACTCCTCCATGAGACTGTAATTCGTATGAAGACCTAATTAAGGAAATGAAGTTGCTTATAATAAAACCACCAAAAAAAAAGTACAGCAGAAGTTTTCAGGGATGCAGAGCGCTTACGGCCAGATGTATCACATAGGACAATATCAAATTTGCCTTCCTTTCCTCTTTTAACAGCCTGAGTAAGAACTATTCAGAAAGCACATTCTTAAGGTCAGTTGGCGCTGTCATCAGCCAAGAGGCCTAACACGGGAATCCTATTGTTATACTAAAACGTTTAAGTTTTGAATTCCCACCTGACGATGCTTTTGCCTTCTCTTTCTCTGCCACAACAATTTCACAATCTGTTCGCTCAGCCCAGATCTCAAGCTGATCACTTGCAGCAGCTCGAAATGTATCACCTGCTGCCAATAGTATCTGGAACAACAAATAACATGAGGTCAAGCACATATAGATTTAACACTGTTAATGCCCCTTCCATAGCTGAATAATATCCCTCTTATGATGTTAGTAAAAAAAAATTATTTGTTGTGCTGTAGGTTATTCATCAGGATTTGCACTACTCAGGTCTTTATAAAGTATGAATGAGCATTTCTCACCATTAAGTAACTTCCATAAAAAAACAGGTTACTCACACAAAAAAAATAAAAAAAAAATAAAAAAAAAAACACAAACACAAACAGTTTAAGCACTAAGGCAAAGCTTGAGGGAAAGACTCCTAACTAACCTTAGCTCCTTCTTTCTTCAATCTATGAGCCAACTTCCCTGCAAAGAAAGACAGGATATAAGATACTCTATATTAGCTATGTCATCATTAAAAACAAATCTGAAGAATCATGTTACGCAACTTACCAAGAGAAGTTGTTTTTCCGCCTCCATTAACACCAACTATCATGATTACAGCAGGTTTCCTACAAGACAGGGCAACAACCAACAGTTTGTTGAGTTTAATTCAAGCCCAGCAGCTCAGATAAGTTTAACCATGTAAATAATTCCTCTATTGTATGTTTTTAATTACTACACATCTTTTTTTTTTTCACGCTTGCCAATGCACTATTTCAATCACTAATATCTTTAATTACCAATATGTAAAAATTATAAAATTTGATATAAAGAGACCATAAATCAAGGCGAATTTAACAAATCTCATGAGACTGTATTTTTCCTTAGCTATAAATCATCAAAGCGTAAAAAAAATGGAGGAAGTACGTAAGATTCACAGATTGAGGACCTAAATCCCAGCTGAAGTTCTGTTTTACTTCCTTTCTCTGTTAACAACTGAAGAACACTTCTCTTCAAGGCATCCTACAGAGATGAAAATCAAAGGAAGTGATTTTCAACACCAGTCACCAGAGCAAAAATAAAGCAGATATACCCCATCCAGAATAAACCAGCCACATCATCCCAACCCCACTTAAATGGGGTAAGTTTTAGCAATAACTTTGATTTATTTTCAGCTTTTCTTCACAAATACTCTGCGTAATTACTATAAACAAATTTTCTTCACTCTTCACCTCTTTCCCCAATTTTGTATGAGAGGAAGTATGTTTGGAAATTTAAAGGACAATATTTCAACGCAAGCAAACACCTTCATAAGCAGCAAAACTACTAAACACGACTAGTATCCCTCAATTCCTAACCAACATTCCACTACACCAAACTAGGTACTCAATATAAGACTATACTAAACTAAAATTAAGAAATTGAACAAGCATGGTCTCACAAGTAACAATGTGACATGCTTAGACTAATCTTACCTATCTATTAAGCCGTATCACAAAAAATTTAACACAAGACAAACAATCATAAATTCATAATTAGTCCATAAGGATTTGTGATTTTGTGAATACATAGTATGATCACTTGATCATCCTTGTTTGTTTTGACTACATTATTATATCTCAACTCATCCAATTTGTTCAGCTGCAAGTAAAAAAACTATCCAATGCACAATGCCACATGTTGTATAATAATATAATCTCTCAAAATTAATGCATTTTCTTAACAATATGCAATATAATTACTAAACCAAAGAAATTATTATTATACTAAGCAATGTAATACAAATTGCAGCATAAATATAGCATAATCAAATGAATTCATCATACCTTAATTTCAGGTCCAGATTTAAGCTTACCAGCCAAAATATCTTCTCGCAAAGAATCCACAATCTTAATCGTAATTCTCGGTCCAAAATCAGACACAAGCAATGCCTAAATACCACAATAAAATCACCAATCATTAACTCAAAAAAAATTTAAAAAAATTCCAAAAAAAATAAAAAACCTCTTCGAGTTCGTCGAGAACGCGGTCGGTGTCAGCGAGGTTCCAGTACAAGAGGAGCTCATCAATGACAGCGAGATTGTCGCGAGTTTTGGAGAATCCTGAGAATACTTTCTCGACGTCACTTTTGGCCTTCTCTTTGATGAGCCGCCCTAATTTGGTAAAGAATCCGGTTGAGCCGGAAGCTCGACATTGAAATTGGTTCGAACTCGGTCGAGCTGCGAATTGGCGGGTGTGGAGTTGGGAGAGAGAATTGGAGAGGAGAGAGAGTGAAGAAGGAGATGATGCAGACGCCATTTTTGTGATTTTACACCATGAAATTGTTGTTTGTTGAAGGTGATCAGGATAATGTAAAACGCAGTCGTTTCATATGCTACCTTTATAAATCCGTTCGTTTCATATGCTACCTGTTCTAAATCCGTATTTTCTCATTTTCCTTTATTAGTTTCTGCGTTTTTTATTTTTTTCTTGTAATTATAAGTTTATTACACTTAAACTATGCATAGGCAGCATAGCAGAATTTTATTTTTATTTTTTCTTGGAATAAATTCACGATTGAATTTATTTTTTTGCTAATTCCTCCCTTCAAAATATTATCTGGACACCAACTCGAACGATGGTGGATAATCTAATTTTAAGTACTCCGTAGATATTACTCTCTCTGTTCCAAAATAATAGACACGGTTAAACTTTGCACACATGATAATGTACTAATTTGACCTTGTTTTTATAGTTAAAGTTGTATATAAATGGTGAAAAAAGTTGAAAGTGTCAATTATTTTGGGACGGAGGAAGTATAAATCTAATTTTTTTTTTTTTTAAGGAAGTATAAATCTAATTACCGCAACTCAAAAATGCACAAGCATGAATATAGATTTCACTTCTTCCATAATTGATTAAAGTCTTTCCACCCCATTATCTTCCGAAGGTAAATTTCTCATGCATTGGCTAACAGTAACCGTAGAACATTTCAAATTTTCAATAATGTTCTTAAGATCAAAGTCTATCAATTCCTTTTACTAGTATAACCGTAGAAGGTAGAACTTTCTTCTTGTATCAAATTTCGACACTATTACTAATTTACTATGACAAAATTGACATCGTCCTCAAAATTTCCAATATTTGACTATTAACAAACAGAATTAAGTACATAATTTACTTAGTCAACTCAAAATTTCAATATTTCCAGCAGTTAATTAGAGGCTACATCGCACTTTCTTCATCACTTCATTACACCTTCTAGCCCATGGCCCCACAAATGAAGTAAATTACCCAATAAATTTGTTATGTTATGCGCCCAAAACATTGCCGTTATACTTTCATTTCCCTTGCATTCCTTATTTCCCTAGCAATACCAAGAAACAACATTTCTCCTTCTCACTTATTTCTATTTACTTTCCCCTCCTAAACCAAAACCATATATATAGATTATTGACAAACTCAATTCCTTCAATTCAATTCCAACCTTTTGCTCAACCAAATATATATTTGTACTCATCAGATGTATCCTTCCACCTCCTCCTCATACTCCTTAGATATTATCATAAAGTCAACTGAAGCGCTGACTATAGGAAATCATAAATCCGTTGGAAAAAATGTTTTTGTAACAGTTTCTATGGAAAATCAAGGCTGGACAAACCAATTACAAACGAGACTGTGTAATGAGGGTTTAAAACCTGAATGGAATGAGAAGTTGATAATGGACATGCCTACAAACACGAAGTTCATTATCTTAGAGGTTCGTTATAAAAAGAGGTCAAGCGATAAGTTGATTGGTATTGCTAAGGTTCCGACTTCAGATTTTTCTGGAAATAACATGCCTCTAAACTTCCAATATTGTTTATGTTACAGATTAAGAGATCGTAATGGCGAGCCAAATGGGATAATAAACTTTAGCGTGACTGTAAACGGGGGTTTAGATAATTATCAACGTAATGAAAGAAATCAACTCTATCGAGAAACAACTGAAATACAAGGGTTTAATAATAGAGAGAATTATAATAGGCCAAAGCCATGGCTCGGAACATCGTTGTTAGGTGACCGAAGAAAATCTACTTCTACTGTTGTTGGAGTTCCTGCAGCGTGTTACAGTTCATGCCATGCATGATATGATGCAATCATACTTCATATTATTTTGATTATAGATTCTTTTAGACATGTTTACAACTATCTTATATTACTAGTATTAAAATTAACATTTAAGCTATGCTGCAAGTTACAGTAGTATTGTTACTAAGCTCTGAATTACAGGCATTAATTAGGGTTGCTTTGATTTGATCCTGAAAGAAACGAATTCAATAAATAAATTCTATAAATTAACACACTTTTCTTTCCAAAAAAGAGAGATTTTGGAACATCCAAATGAATAAGCCAAAGTATGGAACATCCATATTATGCAGCTCCTCCTTGGCTCCTTCCCTCCCTCCTATCTCTCAAACATACAAACGAGTTGATGGAAATGGAGATGAAATGTTAATCCTTGTTTCAACACGATTAGATATCCTGATAATATTACAAGCGGATAAATTTCCATCTACACAAGGACAATAACTTACAAAACCATGTACATCTCTCATCAGCAAAATAAAAAAAAAATTTACAAGCACTATAAATATCCTTAGTGAAAAGGTCGAAAGCATTTTGCAGTGGGGCAGCTCGAGCAAGATAATTCTTGGTCGGCTACAGGACCCAATATGTACGATGCACACAGACGGAGTGAAACAAAGCGTTAAGCTATTTGCTGTGAAGTCACGAGAAGGTGACCTATCTACACTTCTTCACTGCTTTGGCAGCCATTCTTGAGTATGTTGTATTTGCAAAGGGGGCAGGTAGCGTTGATGTGTAGCCATTTGTCTATGCAAGTACAGTGAAAATGGTGACGACATGGAAGTTCACGTAATTCACTCCCATCCTCATACGATGTAAGGCATATCACACACTCCTATAAAAACATTTCAGAATTAAGTCAATTAAACCTCACTTGAAACATGCAAAAGATTAATTAAACATTCAAAGCTTAGGGACAAGCAGTCCATTTCTCCACAAGTCCACAATAGCTCACCCATAGGTTTAAGCCAAGTCAAGAACCTCACCCCTCATATAATCATCCAAAAACCCCCACCTTTCATATAATCATCCAAAAACCCCTACCCCTCATATAATCCAAACAAACATGAAAGGACAGCACAAACTTCTACATTAGACATAAACAATAAAGTAACTTCATAAATTCGAGTACAAATTAAAAACGAAACGAGGTCCTGCCATCCTGGTCTAACTTCATTTCACAATAAACCTATAACCTATAATACTGTGAAGCAATCATAGAGCTCATTTATTATCCTCATAATCAACTGGCTCTTAAGGGAATGAAGACAAATTTAAACTATACAAGAGTATTCAGCTCTTGGTTATTTTTTCAAAAAAAATTAGTAAAACAAAAAAAAAAAAAAGCTTACAGAGACATATCCAAGCCACATAGGTGGGAAACCCCACTCCCCCCCCCCCAGACCAAAATAAAAAAAAAAACTGGGGACTTCAACAGGGATAGAGAGAGTGAGAGGGGAAGGGGTGGGGGGGTGGGGAGGTTCTTTGAAAAGCAATAGGATAACCCCAAATTTTCAAGTACTTTTTATTACTGGGGACTGGGGTTGTTCTGTCAAAATATTAAGGTCACGAATCCAGTTTCCACAGTTCGAAAATAAAGAACACAGCCATGCACGATCTCATACACAGGCTACCAAAGCCAATTTACCATACCTCTCAATGAAATGTTTGCTAAATTGCTCTCAATGTTAGTCCTAGCCTCTAAATCAAATAAAAGACAGAACAGAAGCTTCCCCTGTACTTCTTCTGATTAAGAAGAAAGCAGACAGACTCATCCACTGTCCACATGCTTATCTAAGCTTCCCCAAGTCAATATTGCATTAGGGCACAAAAAATAAGGTGGGAAGAAAAGGTAAACAGAGATAAAACAGAACATTAACAATAAGATGGGATGGAAGGAGCGAACAAATATCAAAGTTACCAAAAAATTAAAGACCAACAATGGTTAAGTTTAAAGCTTGGTTATATCAAATTTCTTGCAAGTGCTTAGGAGACTCACAGCATCTTCTTCTGAAAGAGCATGCTCAATAAGTGGGTCAGTGCCACACTGGGTCATAATTCCACCAAGAGATTCTTGAATTTCACCACTCTTTTTTTCAATTTGGCCTAGTCTCCTGAACTTGAACTTCGGCAGCCGGTCAATATCCTCATTAGTAGCTCCTTCCTATTTGTGCGATACATGCAATAATGTAAGAAGAGAAAGCTTTTTTTTTTTTGACAAAAGAAGAGAAAGCTGACAATTCCAAATTATAAATAAAAAAAGTGAAGTGTGAGCATCCTACCTGATCAGCCAAAGCATATAAAATTGCAATGATACATGGAAGACAACAGCAGACAGCTATGCCTATAATGCAAGCCACCACCACGCAGATAACAACAAAGAACACATCAAATGCCAGAAATGTTATAGTGAGCCTGTGAAAACAATGCCATATGAGTAACAAAAGTAAGAGTGATGCAAAAAGATTGCTTGTATGTACACATGATAGAAACACTCTGAAGAAAATTACCAGTAAAGCTTAGGCGCATCATCTGCTAAACTTGGTCCACCAGAAGACACCCAATAGAATCCAATGATCCACCAAATAAATGAGAACATTGTATTCGCTGACTCCAGATGCTTTGCAACGCTGCAAGAGAAAATTGTGTCAAACAAATGCAAGAAACACTTATTTAATGATCGTAATATCAACTAAAGCAACTCAAATAGTTCATTCATACACTAACACATTAAAATATATACCAGTCATATCCATTAACCTCTGCCCCCCCCCCCCCCCGGAACTGTATCTCATTATTCTTGCATTTTATTTCTCTACAATCAAGTCTTACAATTTAATTTGCAATACTAATGTTCTCAAGTAATACAAAGTTGTGAGAAAAAAGAGAGGAAGGAAAAAGAATGTATTTAAACAGTCACACATACAGCTTTACCCCCCAAAAAGAGAAGGGGAAAATAAAGTGTTGAAGAAGAGCACATATAAGGAAGCATGGGTTGATACATAGTTTCAAACCTCCCACTTTGAACTTTATCTAAGCTATGCCTAAGCTAAAACAGAAACAAATATTGCAACCAAGGGTTTAGCAACAGATAATCAAGTAAATAATTATTGATCCATCCTTCTTGCTTCAAAATCTAATATTGTTACTTGAGGGCATTTAGCTGGGCTTCTTCAACTCTTTGCAGATGAAATCAATGTCTACTTACTGGTGATTCCAGCATTCAGGTAAATACTTTAACTCAACAATTTTATCCCTAAACTGTTTCTCTTTTCTCCACTCTTCCCCATGCAGCCGAAGTAGGCATCACTGGAGACAGTCACCAGATCCCATCACCATGATCCAATCTTCATCCTGACCATCCCTCAACAAATGTTATACCAGACCAGCTCTATAACTATCATACCAGCCATTCTCTCGTTAATTGCTGAACCCGCTACAGCTCACTTCACCACAAGACCACTAATCCAGTTGCTGTCCTTGAACTCGCCACCAAGATTTAGGCATGCATGACTGTGTGTAATAGCAAAGCCCAGGGGCCCCAGATCAAAACATGGGGAGCCAAGGAGGGACTGGTTACAGCCATGACAGATTGGCGGGTGTAAAAATCTGACACCTCCTGACCACTATAGGCATATCCTGATCACCACAGCTTGATCATTCCAAAAGGATGAATAAAATAAAGAAGGCTGAAAAAGAGGGGAAAAAAATGGTAGACGTAAAAATGTGCTACTGGAAAAAGGGGTGAAGTGATTGAAGTTGACAGTAGTTGATGCAGGATAAAGGTGATTGTGGAGATGGTACATGGAGTAAACTGTTGACAGAAAATGTGTTGGGAATAGCTCCCAGATTATTTATCACTTTGAAACTTTGTTCCTCATAAAACCCACAGACCTCATAAATAGCAACATCCAATCTCCAGGTATATACTGTTCTGATTACCTGACGAGAACATAGTCACTAATTTGCATCAAATGACCTTGTTATATTGTCTAGAACAAACTGCAGCTCATAAAAACTGTAATTAAAACGCCAAAGATCACTCAAGTTCAGACAATGAGAGTTGACAAAAAATCTTGATTGTGCCACTAGCAGATAGCATAGCAAGGTGCAAGATTATAAATTCCTGTATTCTAGTGGCACACGTACACTTCTGCTGAACAAAATGATAGCTAACCTTTGCAAATTTTTGTACAGCAAAGGCAGTATACACAACCTTCATAAAAACTAGTTTCTAGTGGCACATGTACACTTCTGCTGAACAAAATGATAGCTAACCTTTGCAAATTTTTGTACAGCAAAGGCAGTATACACAACCTACATAAAAACTAGTTTTATTGATTCACACCAAGTCCTACTTCATCAAAATTGCACAGCTTTGTTTAGTCAATATAGTCCCATAGTTTATGCTGCCAGTATATATGACAAACAAATAAAATCCCTAAAGGAATTAGTAATGTCAAGATAACGAAATAATGCATTTGTTACAACACTTCACACTTTATTACTCTATCATGCTATTGCTGCTATAGACGTACAAGAGGAGTTACAACCCAAGATGGCCAATGCTTAATTGAGTAATGCTGTAACTTCTATAAAAGGCTTTAATTTACATTATGCCACATGCTTAATTGCAACGTGTCACCACGATTGTGCAGCTAGTTACGAGGGAAGGAGGAACAATGAACAAGGGGCTTTCATCTAAATCTAATAGACATTAGCAAATTTAGACAATTCACACTGTTTTCCCAATAAAAATCCATGCTTTTCACACAATAATATCCTGTTCCACAATCTATCATTCACAATCAAATCATACAACTGTAAAACAATTAAACAGGCATTAAAGCTCTATTTTTATTTTAGGGAAAAAAAAACAGTAGAATAGTTATACCTAGTGTTATCCTCATCCTGTTGATGCTCATCATAAAACTCCATGGAATCCCCTTCTAAACTCGCTGAAGAACTCGAATTTGACCTTGAATGTCCCGAATTTACATTACTCGAACGATTCGAACCCGAATTCAAATTCAAAGCCAAACTAGAACCAGAACTCGGGCCAACACCGACATTCCACCCACCCGAGGACCCAAACCAAGGCCTGCTAATCTCTCTCCTCCTCTTGTACTCAACACAAACACAAACCATATGCAAAATACACTGAAATCCATATCCGACAAGCCACAACCTCAACGGAACCTGCGTTTTCTCATCGCCGCTTAAGATCATAATAGCAATGGCAACAAACACAAAAATCGTGTTCCAAAGAAGGTCGAGAACAACAATTGGAGTAGAGTAAGCCCAATCACTTTGACGCTCTTCGATTTGCTGCGCCGCCGATTCTCTCACCATAACCGACTGCTCCGATATCATTCTCCGGCTATTCGCTCGCCGGAGAAACCTCGCGGCGCCACGTAGCCCTGCTCTACTGGAAATTCTCCGGCTTCGCGACTGCAACGATCGGTTGCCGGAAGGCGGTGAAAGAGGTGCGAGTAACGGCGCCGTCGTATCGACATCGGTGGCGGACATGGCGGTACAAGAAATTGAGAAATTTGAGGTGAAATTGAAGTCGTCGATTAATAAATTAGGGTTTTTGTGAGATAATTTAGGGAAACTGAGAGGGACAAGCCATTAATAACCTGGATTGAGGAGAGAGAAAGTTGAAATTAGGGATTGTTTTTGGAAGAAATTGATGAAGAAGAAGAAAAAAGGGGAATGATTTGATTGGGTAATTTAGTTGAAGGAGTTGAAAATGTAAGATAATGGAGTGGATTTTAGAATTTTCTTTTTTTAGTTATTTTTGTTTAAAATACGGAGTACCACTGTACCAGTACACAAGAATACAAGATTGACAAGTCTTGTAAAGAAGGACGTGGGTTTGCATAAACTATTTTCTTCCGCGATTTGTCTAGTTAACAACCTTGGTATTGTCGGGGTGAGCAAAAATATTGGCATATTGGATACTTGGTTTCGGAATTATAATTAGTAATAAATCATAGGGTATGAATTTGGAATTGGAATCGACATCAAGTTTAAAGCTAAAGATTTAGTCGTAAGCAATTATGAATTTAAAGATTGTGCAATTATTTGCCTAATAAAATCGATTCTGAAATTAGATACTTTATGTCACGAAATATATTGTTAAACACGAAGTAGATATTAACATAAAGTTTTATAATATAAATTTTTTATAATTTTTATTAATGTTTAACTATATAAATAAGATCAAATTAGTGCATCGGCATGCGTACAACATTTGACTATGTCTGTTATTGTAATACCCCGTATTTTTATACATACATTAAATTAAAACATTATTTTATGAAATATTTAAATAATTCGAAATGAATTATTTATTGTATTTTAATAATTTAAAAATATTTATTTTAATTAAAAGTTTATTTTGATTTACTTAATTGCTTTGAAAATGTTTTATTTATTATTTAGAAACTTTAGGGCATAATTATTTTATAAAAAGAAGTTTTAAAGTCAATGAAATTTTAAAGAAAGACAAATGTCATTTGGAATAGGAGTAGGAATCATTAAGGGTAGAAGGGAAATTTTAAGTAGGAGGGTTTGAGAGAGGGTATAAATACCCATCATATGAGCAAATTGAATTTTGCTCAAGGTGGAAAATACCTAAAGATAAACTCTCTATCTCTCTCCTCTTATTTTTATTTCTCTCATCCTTAATTTTTCCCTTTCCCTCACAAACACTCACACACACGCCACACACGTGGTCGGCCGCCACACCGCCACCAGTGAGCGCCGGCAGCAGCCAGCCCTCGGCAGGCGGCGCAGCAGCAGCCCCTACCGTGGTGTGTGCGTGCGCAACCCCTAAAAAAGAGAAGGAAAAAAAAAACTTCTTTTGTTTTAAATTAATCCAATCTTGTTTTATGATTGATTTTGGGTGTGTGTGATGATTTTATGATGTTTTAATAATGATTATTATGTATATAATTTTCAGATTTGGTTTTTGAATCAAAAAGCCCCAAATTGAAAACCCTAGGTTTCTAAACTATTGTTTATTGATGGAATTTGATTGTAGTTAATCAAAACTATTGAAATTGATGTTTTTAAACATAATTACAGCAAGTTTATATGTTTTTATAATGCTGGAATTTTTATATAAAGGCTAGAATTATGTTTCCTGAAAGGATTTTTAATTACCCATTAATTGGAAATAAAAGTAGGTGGTTTAAATTAATTTTCAGCATGTTTTAGAAAGTTTGAAAGTGATTTAAAGAGTGTATATATTACTGAAAATTTATATCGAATAAGTGTTAATGTCTCTTTGTAATTTTGGGTTGTAGAAGACTTCCAAGTGAGTGACTTCGTGTAGCCGTGGCGATTTTGAGATCATATTCGAGGTACGTTCGAGTACTCGGTAATTATTTAAGTGTGTAAAAGCATGCTAGGCTTTGTTTAATTAATTCCGAGTTAGTATCGTGATAGGTATTGGTTGGAATTGTTGATTGGATTGATGTTGGTGATTGATTTGTGAAGTATGAATCATCTGAGGTGAATTGTTGATTTGGAATTAATTATGTCGGCATGTTGATTATGAACCACACTTTTATTATTGGCATGATTGAGAGCATGTTTAATTGTGTTTGGAATGTTGAAAGGGAATTTTATTATGCTTCATATAATTTTTATTAATTGGAATGTTGAAAGGGAATTTTATTATGCTTCATATAATTTTAATTAATGCTATAAGCATGAGAAAGGAGCTATTTAGGTGTCTATGTACACGAGGATTAAATTATATATTGGTGCCTAAGTGCACTTAAGGTGTTTTAAGCATTGAGGGATAGGATTTATGATGCATTATGCGTTTAAGGTGTTATTTAACCCCGAGGTAGTTTAAAAAGGGTTCAACATTAAATTAAATGTGGTCACTAATTATTCAAAAATTAAATTGGTATGTTTGATTGCTTGAATAATTTATGATGATTGATTTATGTTGTGGATTAAGGGACATCACCAAGTCTAAAAATATGTAAACAACGTAAAGTGAAAGAGATTACGCACCAAAACTCTTGGAACGTATATACCTTGAGTATAAACATATAGGGGGAGTTATGGGGTTTTATATTTAACAATAACTTCTACTCGGAGTATAGGACGTTGTATTTTCCTTTTTATTATGCGCAGGAATTCCGCCACTTATGAGTGGTTCTTTTATACTGGCACGGTTAACTCCCGTGTTAGTACCCCTTAATTGGGGCAGGTTAGGAGGGAAACCCGTTCGATGCATAATCAAATTAAATAAACAAACCATTCGTTATTGGTTGGTTATGTTGCATGCTTGTAAACAAGTGCAATAAGGTATGTTGTACGTTGATATGATAAAAGCATGTTAGTGTGTACTGTTTACGCTTATGTACTCAGCTTTGCTGATTGTGTGTTTGTATGTTTGTTTGGCCTTGTCTTTATCTTGGCCCTACGACGACCCATTTCTAATGGCGACAAATTAAAGAGAAGCTTTCAGGTGATGAAGCATATTCATGATGGACATGAGTGAAGAGCGATTCATATTTACTTTCCATAAGAAGCTTTGATTATTATATATTTGCTTGAGAGTAACACAAAGGTTTTAATATTGGTTTTGGGTTTTGATAAAAGCCTACAATGGTTCTAAGTTGTAGGTTGACTTTGTTTGACTTTGGTTTGATTTTACTTTCGTTTGGTTTGACTTTTTAAGTTACTTGTTTTAAATGGTTTTAAAGAGAGTCTTCCGCTGTGTGTCTTTGATAATTGCCTTGGACGTTTTCACGGTGGCGGTAATGTCTTAGAATTTCCTATTTCGTATTTTAAAAAGAGCAAAACAGGTATTTAAAGGAATGAAATTTTTAGGGTATTACACTTATTATGGGGACAAAGGGAGTAATTTATATTAAAAAAAAAAAAATTGTCTGCATTTTCAACTAGTACTTGATACCCATCAATTTTATAATCGAATCCATAGATTTTGGAAATGATTCCAACCAAGTCCAATTTCAAGAAATATGACCAAATATTCAACCTCCACCCTTACATCGAGTAGAGTGTGGACACTAGTAGTTCAACTGAGTGAACGTGTTGATGTGCACATTTACTTTTGTGTTGATGTGATTTGATTAGTTTGTAATACGTTCATATTTGTAACCGTTTGAGTATAATATTCAGTGGTAATGAACTTTTATGAAAAACTAGCTGGTAGGGAAATCCAAGCTTTTAGGATGAAATTAACTCAATGATTGGAAAATAAAATGAAAAATAATTATAAAAAAAAAAACCAAAAATCCCTTAGGATCTACTTCATAATTTGTATTATTATTTGGTTAAACTTTTTTTTTTTTTTTTAACTATGAAACCTCATACCACCCCTTATACCTTCCTCAATCCTTGTGATTTACGGTCCATTTATTCATAAGATGTAGCTATCATTTTACTAATAAACCATATTGCGCCAAATGTGTATGGAATCCATACTCCCTAATATAAGATTTCATAGCAATCCATTTTTATCAAATGTAAACGGCCTCTTTAAAATTATTCATTAAAGCGATTAAAAACTGAATTTTGTCATTTGGGTATGCCAAAAAATTAAAATCCAGACAAGCCTTTACAGTACAAGAAACCTGGAAAGAGATTGTGTTTTTTTAGTATAGTACAGTCAGAATTTAACAGTTTAATAAAGAAAGACGTTAGTTCTCGACTTTAAACCCCCAATTCAAGTGAAACCTATGTTCAATCTGTGAATGCATAAATGTAATGGTCCCTTTTTCGTTTAAATTACCATTAAAATGTATCCTCAATTTTCCATATATCTTACCTTGCATATAAAATAATAATTACAGTCAAATTAAAGTTTGTGAATAATGTCAAAATTCAAAATGTAACCCATTATATTGCAACAAGGGTGAATTAATCCGGAGTAACCCATGAACTAGAGGTTGCATAGAAAAACGAGCCTTAAATTTCTCCTCAACACCTCATAATGAAGCACAAAAGGTGACAACCAATTACACCATAGCCTAAGTAATGACAAATGCAATCTAGTCACCATGGAAAGTGTCGATGACCAGAGATAACTAAGGAGTAGATACACAATATCATACACAATTTCACAAGTACAATTCACCATAACTGAAGAGGTACAGTAACTTTGAAATCAAAGCTAAATAACCTCCATTGCCGCGTAAATTTTCACTCTCTTGAACTTACACTTCCCCAATTACTCGGTCATAGAAAACGAGCTGTCACAAATAAATAGCTGATCTGCCTAGTAAAGTGTTCTATCTGGATGTCTGTATAACACTTGAATGAGGATGACAAGCTTCACGAGAACTCACAATTCAAGATACTTGTGGGCAAGTTAGCAAACCAGGAGAAAATGTCACAACCATCACCTTGAAAACTCTCACTTCTTTGTTGAGTCAAGGATCAGGCGTTGACGTAGTTCAGGTGTTGCATGAGCCAACTCTGAAAATATTACCCGAAAATTGAGTAAAATTGGAGAATGAAGTTACCATAAATGACGGAAAGAGCACAAAACATACCTTCAGGGGTGAAGTTAAATAGAGGAGGAAGAGGTCTTCCATTAGGCAAGCTTGCATTTGGGTCTCTCAGATCATCAAAGAAATGATGCGCACAAGCTTCCAGCTGAGAGAACATTAGATATAAGTATAAAATTTTACAAGAAATTAGCAGGAAACTTAATTTGATTTATATGAGGCACAAATGAGGTCAAGGGACGAATATATGCACTGCCAGAACAGGAGGAAGTGAAGCACAGTTGTGGGATCATTATATCACCCATTTTCCCCCTCATTTTCTTTTGGAGGGAGGGGTGCTACTCCAACACAACATAAATTTCTCCAGTGATAATATACTATTTCAGCCCAAAATAAGAGGGTGAAAGTGTGCTACAGTCCACACTGTAGAATACTAGAATCTATATATCCTTAACTTCACAGCAGCCCAATGTAGGCCAAAATCAAAGCAAAAAAGTTCACAAACATTACACAATTGGATTAAATGGATGCATGACCAAAAATAATACAGTCAGAAGTCTGTAAACAAGTACAATAAACAGAATGTCACACTCATAAAGAACAAAACGGATTAGCAATGTACTATTAGAAGTTGGTCTAAAATTACTGAAAGAAAAAATAAAATAAAATAAAATAAAGAGATTCTTACAGCTGAGCACCGAAGCTTTGGTGAATACTGGAGCAATCTTGACACAAGATCCACAGCTTCAGGAGGCATACGCTTATGAAACACCTGAAATAAGATAACAATTTGTTTTAAAACAGCACAAATAAACTTTGCTATAAACTAAGGATAATCCAACTCTGTGAGCATGCAATTGTGCATGTGTGTGTTTTGCAGTGAGAGAGAGAGAGAGAGAGGGGATCTAGCAAGACCTTGTGCCACGGATGAGCCTTGATCTGGGGAAACTTGAACTCGCTGTAATTTGGATTCATACACTTTATTTCTTCTCTCGTTGGTGTTCCCAAAATCTGACAAATCACAGCAAAACAATGTAGAAGAAGCATGTCACTACAGTCCTGAGGCAGAAGGGAAATAAAACTGTAAACTGCAAAACAGTTCGAAGGCGCACCTTGATGATCTCCACCAGTTGATCAACACCACTTTCACCAGGAAACAAAGGCTGCACATACAAAACAATCAGAACTGAAGAATGCCACCACATAGCCATACGTCATCATATTAATTGAATTACCTGATTATAAAACACCTAAACAATCGCCTACAATTTTAAAAATAATTAGTATCTTGTAGTAAATAATACGCCAAGTCAATAAACAAAAGCTGCTCGTGCGAGGGTGGTAGAGGGGGAAAATATCAGTTTAAGACACAGCTTATATTGTAATAGCCCCTCCACTGGGGGGATTAACCAATAGCCAGCTCTTAATACGAAGTATAATTTTTCATAGCATCCAACATGTACACCAGCTTGACAATCATTTGAACAGTGTCGTAAATTAAGTTTCATGACAAAGCGACGCATGTTGACTGACCAGTCTCACTGCTAAATTAGGAGGTCCCTTCTGCATTCTCACTTTGCAATAAAGGTATTGTTTCCAGTTCTCAATTCTTGATCAAAACAAGTAAAAACTACCCCAATCCCTTGAACAACTTCAAAGCGCTTAAATAAAATACAGAGAATGAGAGGAAATCCAGCTTCAAAGTGCTTGCATAAATTAAGGCTCCCTCATCATAAAATATTGCATTTTAGTTAAAATTGCAAACACTAACCTGCCCCAAGAGAAGCTCAGCCAAGACGCAACCGACAGACCACATATCGATTGCAGTTGTGTACTCAGTAGCTCCAAATATCAATTCGGGAGCACGATAATACCGGGAACAAATGTATGAAATATTAGGTTCACCCGGTACCTACAGTTGGATATCAAACTTAAACCTGGCAAGACAGATAAATAAATATATAACATAATCCTCCACTGTAAAAATGGCATACCAGCATCTTTGCACTCCCTAAGTCACAGAGCTTTACTTGATGAGTGTGTGGGTTAACCTGAAAAGACCATGAAAAATCTCAATGGAATGAAAACGACACTGAGATGCGGCCAGACTAGCTCTAGGAAGTAAAGATTCGTACAGCCATACGCCAGATGGATCTTAAGCCTCCACACAAACAATAAACAGAAAGAAAAAAAAAAAAAAAAAAAAAAAAGCTTCAACTCCAACCCCATACACAAAACATTTAAGAAAAGATAAAATATGTTTCAACCACCCTCCCCACCCCCCCAAAAAAAAACAAAAAAGAAAAAAAAAAACACCCACACACACACACCACAATAGAAGGAAAGGGGAAAGAAAAAAGTTTCAACAACCCCCCCCCCCCAAAAAAAAACACACACACACACACACACACACACAGCAAAAGACATGCATGATACGCTAGCTTATCACTATTTAATTGGGAGGACGTTTTCTTTGATCTCCTACCAACATGCCAAACGCCGATACAGACCATACCAAACAAAAGGGAACTCCATAAATGCACAATACTATAAATTAAAAGAAAACTCAACAAAAACTCACAAGTATATTTTGGGGCTTGATGTCACGATGGCAAACACCGATAACATTGTGTATATAATTGAGCGAGCGACAAATCTACAAAAGAAGACAGAAAGTGCTTATTATATACATCAATGAGATCAGCTACTCGTATGAAACATTTTACATCAAAAATAGAAGTCAAGATCACCTGGTAGGTATACAGTTGTACATAGATCATTGGCATGTGCTGATTCATCCTATTATGGTGCTTCAAAACCCGATAGATAGTTTCGGGAACATACTCTAGAACGAGGTTAAGGTACAGCTCATCCTTTTCAGTCGTTGAATAAAAACAATGCCTTAGTAAAACAACATTTGGATGCTCTAGTAAGCGCATGATCGAGAGTTCTCTGTTCTTGTATCGCTTATCTTGTAACACCTTTTTAATTGCAACTTGTTCACCAGTTTCCAAGCACTTTGCCTAAATATTGTGAGGAACATGAATACATTAGAATCTACTCAAATGCCAAAGCCAACTACAAAGACAGTGATCCCAATCCAATTACCTGAAAGACTACACCAAATGATCCAGTGCCAACCACACGTTCCGCCATGTAAGAAACTGTCTGAGACAGATTTAACAATATATTGATAATCAATAACAGTCATGTAACACAGAGGACTAAAAACAAATAGATTTCTAAAGCAAAAAACTTCACGAACAATAAATAAGCCCTGTTAATAAACACCATAATGAATTGATACGCAAAGCAACCATAATAACATAAAATTTGCCAATCAATCCAAAGCAAAAGGATCAACAAGTTGACAACCTATCCAATTATCAAGTTCACGATATATCAAATTCCCAACTCAAACCTGAAACCACTCAGGACACAAGACCCTCAAAAATTAGCAATAACATGATATACACAACTGAAATAGAAATACATCCCGGATGTGTTCAAGATCGCTGTAAGTGTCAATGACACAGCAAGTGGTTTGTGGCAGTTGCAGCCTAATATATTAATCTTGCTTAAATTGAAATACTTTACAATGCAGCATGATGCATAACAAGGCTGACATTTAATACCATGATAACGGCAGAATGACCAATAAAAACAAAAGATCTTTATTTCAAGCAATTCGCAGCAGTCTAAGTCACACAAGACATACCTAAAAACAGCTTTGGCTAAACCAACCTACCAGATGATTATGCAACAGTACCCACCCAAAGGATAAAATGGCTATCACTATTTTGAGAGACAACCCAAAATACTATCACCCCAAGAACAATACATTATCACAATGCCATCCTAATTTCAAACCTTAGATTAGATAGCTAATTTAATAAACAGACCTCTCCCAAATACCAAATACCAAAGAAATTGTAAACATAAAAAAATACAAAAATTCTAAACAATTCAACAACTCCAGTCGAATATTGACAATAATGCCATCACACCACTGCCACTTGAGTTTATCAGCCAAGATCCCTTCTCACCTGGACATATAATCAGACATATTTCTGCAACCCAGAAAAAACAAAATCAATAACAACCATCGATCAGCCTTGGATCATACTAGGTCATTCAACCAGAAACTCCTAAAACCTGTATGATGACCCTATTCCTACACATAATATAACCATGACACAACAAACAAGAGTGCGATTTCCTATTATATCCTTTAATGTTATCCCAACTTCTTTTTAGCTTCAAACATGTAATTGCAGCCTTTACCTTCTCTAGTACATCATCTTTAAGACAACATAGACACAATAGGCCCGGATCAGTAGTGAAGAATCCACATATACCCTTCATTTGAACCCCCCCCCCCCCCCCAACAAAAAAAAAAAAAAAAAAAAAAAGGGGGAGAAAAAATAAAAAAGAAAAAAGAAAAAAAAACCCAACATAATCACAAAACAATTAATTAAAAAGATTTTGGCAAAAGCCAAAACAATTCTGCTATTCATTCATCATATATAATCAAAAGACCAACACAAAAATTAAAAAATAACCTGTTTTGGCTGCCCATTCCTACCACCCATTGTAGTAGTAATTATCTGCCCAGCTTCAGTGCCACTGCCACTCACAACAGCAGCTTCCATGTCCTAAATATTTCCAGGGTATCAAAAATAATTGAATTAATGCTAAAAACAGAAGTATGTAAAGATGAGAACAGAATATTCTAAAAAGTCACCATTCCAGAGAATTATGTAGTCAATTTTCAAATAAATCATTCATAAAAAACTAAAGCAAAAGTTTATGTGGATTAATTAATACTATATAGTTGATTAGGCGGGGAAGTCATCAAAAGTGAATTCCTCCACGGAAAAACTTGAACTCAAAACTGGAATTCTAATAGCCACTAATGTGAAGAAAAACCTTTGTCCAATCAACGAAGGTCTAATTGCCCTCAAAGGCTCAAAGTTACCTTATCATCACCTTTATCTGCTTTGCTATCCTGGATTTTCATTCCATGCATTTCTGTAGGAAGCTTATCATAATCAGCTTTCTGCGTCCTATCAATAGGATTCCCATCAGATGTGCTTGGAACAGCCTCCATGGATGTTGAAGCTACACGGTGCTCTACTTCTGTAGTACATCTCTCATCAGTGTGTGATTCATCTGTGAAACTTCCTTCTGTTTCTTGCTCAACTTTGGCCCTCTTGGTGCTACCATCCCCATCCTAAATAAACATCAATTGCACTTTGCAATAAATCTACGTGATATAAAAATGCTCGAAACTACATCACAATCCATTATGAAGAAATCAAACTCCAAATCCGCCCAATTTCGTAGAAAATTAACAAAGTACTACATGGTGAAGAAGTTATAAGGAAGATGGACGAGATGAACCAAATTAAAAATGATAACGGATGTTGATTATTGGATAAAGCATGTGAGTGTTCAGATTCCAATTAAACCAGTTGATAAGATTTAACCAATTATAATCATCACTCTGATGCAAACACTACATGCAGAAAATTAGTGTCAACAGGTTTAAACAATGGAAGGCCAATGCTCTGGTTACGAACTTGAGTTAGAATAGATGGGCAGGAAAAGGACATAAAATTGCAACACAGCTAAGCAACACAGCAAAGTGGTGTGAACTCCATAAGAAAGAGAGGTGGCAGAGAGGCCAGTGACAAGAATTTGCAGCTTTCAACATCCACCAGGTAGAATCATGCATTCTCTTCAAAAAAAAAAACAATTGCATCCAGTTCTAGGCTCTAGAATCTCATCATAACACACAAAAGTTTCTTCAAATATTTAACTTCTTCTACAATCACCAGTCCATTAAAAATCCATCTGATCCTCAATGCACAATTACAATCCCAATAATTAAATTGTACTAGATCAATAAGATAGCTGGAAAAAAAAAAATAAAAAATAAAAACTCGCAACAACCTAGCATCAGTACAGCTCAGAATTGATTTTTATAGAATTATACCCATGAGTAACTCTTCCGATTAGCTATAAATACACGGAGCATTTGTTCACTACTTTCTGCTATTGGACCTAATACAGTAATACACTATAGTGCTCAAGAGTATTGTTTTCAAATTAAACAAGTAAAGGTAATTCAGCAATTAGCAATAAAACAGAAGATTCAGTAGTAATTTTTCTTTGGATTATCACGGACTAAACTAAATAGCTCACAGGACAGAAAAAGTTTCATCCCTATCTAAAAGCAGCAGGTAGAATTTTGGTTCAGGAGACAACCTATTTACGCAGACTAGGCAGAGCCTCATTAAAGGTATTAGAGTGATACATATGTTGGGTCATGTCAAAATCTGGGCATTGCATATACAAATAAACCCCAAACACGTGAATAACATCCTCAAACAATTCAGTATAATCTTTAACTCTTTGTTCAGTAAATCAGTCAACTTATATCAGCATGAATAATAAAAGAAAATTCTGACCAAATTGCAAAGCCATCAGACATCAGAAATTGAGACTAAGGGTCTGTTCTGTTCACCTTATTTTCACTTATTTCACGTGTGATAAGTTCAGTTAAGTTCAGATAAGTTCGGTTAAGTTTAGATCAGGTTTAATAAGTTTTGATAAGGGTTACCCAAATACAAATTACAACTAAAATAAGTTTTAATAAAGTCTAATAAGTTAAGATAAGTGAAAATAAGGTGAATAGAACAAACCCTAAGTAACCTTCAAGTTCAAGCATTCAAATGTCTAAACAGAATAAGGTTGTCATTACTCATTCTACTTAAACCAATCCAACAACCCCTCACAAAAATTCCATACAGCACAATCAAAATAGCAACCAAAAGACGACAACCCGGAAAAAGAAGTGAGCATTTCCCATTGAAGAGAATAAATGTATTAGAATTCAGAACCGGAGAACAAAGCATATATAAATACACTGGCAAGAGGTACAGCAGATAAAATTAGTGTGCATATTCGAATGAATGAATCAATCAAAGCCTTAATCCCATAAGTGGGGTCGGCTACATGAATGAATATCATAGACTTATCTACAAGAATGCACAGGAATGAAAGGGGCAGAAGGGCAATGCTAAAAGAGATTTCTTGTAACAGGATCGATGAGAGATGACTTGAATTTCATACTCCTCCAGCTAGAAGGACCCAAAACTATCATAGTGGTCATAATAGGCAATCTGTTAAAATGTACCTCCAATCATATACCCCAAACCAACTGGGGGCACAACAATTGCCTCAGCCCTCGGGTGTACCTACTAGAAGCTCTACATGACATTGTTTTTTATAGATTGATACCTACTAGAAGCTCTATATGAGTACATGGCATAGTGTTTTCTAGATTAACATCAAAAATTAAACTTGTCTAATTGGATCCTATATATCTTCTCATATAAGAGCATTTGACATTATTAAAAAGGCTAGATTTTCCTTAGTTGTAAGATAATGCCTAGACAGTTAAATTCACATATCCTAAGTTTTTTTTAAAAAAAAAAATAATATTCTGAAAAAAAAATTGAAACTTTTCACCGAAATAACAATAAAAATAAAATTTCCTACTAATAAAATTACCCATGAAAATATTACAGCTAATTTCTAATCATTACCACTCATTTTCACAAAATCATGTAATCGAAACTTTATGATTCTACAAACTATACTTTTAAAATTAAAAAAATTAAAAAACCCATCAATCCAAAACCAATAATAATCAATTAATACCCAAAAAAACTATCTTCCACATTACTTATAAAAATGATTCGAACCCCCAAATCAATTTCTAATTTCCAACAACAAAATCATAAACAAAATTAAAAAAAAAAAAAAAAAAAAAAGGGAAGGAAAACATACGAGATCAGATATAGAAGTACGCCCAGAAGCAATGCTTTTAAGACGACGCATCACATTCATCTTTTAACTTTCTCTCTCCTCTTTTTTCCCCAATCTCCCACACCACAAACCCTAAAAATTCAATTGAAATCAATTCAAATCAAATCAATTTTTCTGGAGAAAGAGAAGAAGATAGAGAGAGAAAGAGAGAGAAATCTCTCTCCTCTGAAAATTCAGAAGAAAAATCAAAATAGGGGAAAATCGAACACCAAAAAATCTAAATTAAAAACATAAAATTTAGAGAAATTTTATGAAAATATTTTCTCTCACCTCCCGAAAACGAAGGGGAGGTTAATTGATTTTCTCTCTCCTCAAAAATACAAAAAATTGGGGAAAAGTTTGATTTTCTCTCTCCTCCTTCATCTGGTCAAAGCTCCAATCATGGCGAGCCTCAACTGTTTGTTTTTTCTCATTTTTCACCTGATCAGTCAAACTTTAGCTTCTCCACCGTTGGATTGAATTTTGATCTGACGGTGTAGAATCAAGTTGGGTTTATTTTTGTCTTGTTTTTTATTACAAAGTACATGAAATTTAATAAATGGTGAAAAAAAGGGAAAAAAAATGAATTCTAGGACCGTAGATTAGGTTGGTATATTCCTAAACGGGGAATAAATTTTATTTTATTTATTTATTACATTATTTTTTTTACTTTATTTATGAAGTAATAATTGATGATGAAATAAAAAAAACGGCTATTTCACCAAATGGCATTAAACACTTTAATAATTCACCGAATGCCATTAAAGTGTTCAAAATTCACCAAATGCCACCGAGTGCCATTATAACTAACGGTCGATAATTTCGTTAGTCATTAGGGTTTAATCATGACACATGTCATGATATAATTGGTTCAATTTTTAAAAAATCTTAAAAAAAAGAAAAAAATTTAAATTTTTTTTTTTTAAATTCCTAAACCTAACCGAACCCCACCACCAACATTGCCGCTGCCGGCAGCCCAACCCCAGCTGTCGGCACTCCCTTCACCGTCGAAACCAGCCCAACCACCACTCCTAAAACCAGCGACTTAGCGCCTTCCGCTTTTTCCCTTCACAAAAAGACACCCAGCGTTTTCAGACCACAGTGCAAAACCACCCCTCATGTCCTCCACCCTTGAAACGACGAAATCGGCCATAGAAATCGACCATTTTGAATTTCCATGGTTGATTTCGGTCGTTTGAGGGAGAAGGGTTTTCATGGTCGGGTTTTATTCTGGGTTTCCATGGTCGGTTTCGATGGCTACCGTGATGCGTCGTGTTGGTGCGTTAGGTGGTTGCGGGGGCTGGGGTGGGGATCAGGGCGGGGGTCGTCGGGCAGGCGGAGTTCTGTGGATAGGGGGATTAAGTGGAGTCAACGATTTTGGTGGGGTCAAGGGATTCCAGAGGGAGGTCCAGGGGTTCCGACAGGAGATCAAGGAGTTCCGGCGGCTGGCTTTGGCAGGTGTTTATGGTGGTGGGGCTGGGTTGGGTTAGGATTTAGAGTTTTTTTTATATATAATTTTTATTTATCTTTTTTTTAAAATAAATAACTGACTGACACGTGTCCACATATGATTAAACCTTAACGACTAACGGAGTTAACGACCGTCAGTCATTAATGGCACTCGGTGAATTTTTTTTAAAACTCGGTGGCATTTGGTGAATTTTGAAAACCTTTATAGCATTTGGTGAATTATTAAAGTGCTCAGTGACGTTTGGTAAAATAGCCGTAAATAATAATAATAATAAAAAAAAAATAGCCGTAAACATCGGCACAACGTTGTTCGTGATACCCTTGTTGATATTTGTTTCCGCTCTGGGATTTCTGCAAGGAAAGAGGTTAACGTTGCGTTGACTGGAGGGGATGACGGGGCCCTTCGACCGGCAAATGTGTTGCTTTATTCCTGGGAAAGAGGTCTTGATGTATGTGTTGACTTGACGGGGTCTTCTCCTTTGACTCAATCTGGGTTGTCTGACTTTGTTTCTGGGGTGTTGTGTCGGCTGCGGCTCAGCGGAAGCGGGACAAGTATGGGGCGCGTTGCAGGGCAATTGGCTATGGTTTTCTTCCTTTCTCCTTTTCTTCATTAGGGGAATTAGAGAAGGATGATGTTGCATTGTTGAAGCGGATTCAGGCGTTTGCTAGGACTCAGGATATTGGTGCTCGTGCAACTGCTCATATCTTCAACAGGATCGGGTTCGCTATAGCTAGAGGGGTGGGGGCCCACATTGTATCTCGGCTCCCCACTAATTTCTTGTAAATTAATTGACTTTGTAGGTTTTTGTTATTTTTCTATAATAATAATAATAATAATAATAATAATAATAAATGGATTGATTGATTGTAATTAGTAGGATTGATTGTTGGGCTATATTTAGGCAAAATGGATAATATGGGAGAGGTGGATCTTTTTGGGTGGATTAGAGGAGGAATAGGTCTTTGTCATACTATTCCTTCTAATTTCTCAATTACAAAAACACGTCTTTCATTGATTTTTTTAGATTGACTTTATTATTTTATTTTTTATATTAGTAAGATATACGAGTAGTTTGTTATTATCAGTTCTTATTAGTTATTACATTACATATTACTCATTTGTGTTTAGGTCAGTTGATAATTGAGTAATTGTGTTGAACTGTAAATATAAGATTTGAGCTTATCTTGTCTTGGATAAGGATTATTTAATGTTTAATGAGCAGGCTTTAAAAAAGATGTACCTACACATGATAAAGTACTATTGTAACAAAGACTCCACACGTAAGTTTATAAGATTATATGCTGGCTAAGTTAAGTAAGACTAAAGTTGATTTTGATTGCAACATTAACTTGAGGAATGAAGTATTTATTAAAAAAAAAAAAAAAACTTTTCGCAAGATTGTGACCTAGTTTATAACTTTACTAGTTTGGTGCCCGGACGATGCCCGGATTGTCCTAAACCTTTTAACTTGGATGTTAAATACGATCATATAACCCCTTTTGATAATGTAAGAATGTTAAATACGATCATATAATCCCTTTTAATAATGTAAAATTTTTAGATATACGATATCATATCGCTTATTTATATTATAGTGTACTTTTTGTAGTTTTATTTGTAAATAGATATCTATGTAATTAGTTTACCAAACTAAAATTATTTTTTCTGATTAAAACTTATTTTTACTGATTTTCTATTTTTTATTAAAACATATTATAAATGGATCTCATTTTAAAGAAATTTTTAAAACAAAATTTATGATGGAAATAGTACTAAGTTATAAGATATTTATTAAAAGTTACAATTAATTTTGTACATGTGAAATATTAGAAATATATCGACAATAAAACACTATACAATATTTTTATTTTACAAAAATCTATCCAAAATTCGCTTACTTAGCATCCTATGTGTCACAATAATACCTATTTTTCGCTTACGTGGCTCGACACTTGGCGATAAACTGGAATGTCAAGTGTCGTTATCTCGTGGCCTGGCTGCGAGATCGGCTTTATATGTTAATGACTAGAACGTGCCCCGGGCGTTGCCCCGAATACCCATTTTAGAGAGTGTACTTATTTGTGGGCATGTTTTGTATTATTATTATTATTATTATTATTATTATTTATTATTAAATAACAAAAACCTACAAAGTCAAAAGATTTACAAGAAATTAGTGGGGAGCCGAGATACAATCTGGGCCCCCACCCCTCTAGCTATAGCGAATCCAATCCCGTTAAAGATGTGAGCAGCCGCACGAGCTCCAATATCCTGAGTCCTAGCGAACGCCTGAACCCGCTTCAGCAACGCAACGACATCCTTCTCTAATTCCCCCAATGAAGAAAAGGAGAAAGGAAGAAAACCATAGCCAATAGCCCTGCAACGCGCCCCATACTTGTCTCGCTTCCGCTGAGCCGCAGCCGACATAACACGACCAGGAACGAAGTCAGACAACCCAGATTGAGTCAATGTTAGATAAAAAAAAACTAATGTTAGACATTATTATTATTATTATTATTATTATTATTATTATTATTATTATTATTACTATTATTATTATTATTATTAATAGTATTTATATTATTTTTAAATGTTAGATAAAAAAAAACTAATGATACATGGCCATATTTATAGTTATAATTACAGGGTTATTCGTATAGGATTAAAATTTTATTGTTAATTGGATATTCATATTAATTATAATATGTGGTGTGTTGCTATAAGTAAAATTCTACCGTCAATAAGAAATAATTTTTTTTCAAAGAATTATAAAGTATTTTATGTATACTTTTTTATCCTAAACAAATCTATCCAATCTAATCTAACATGGCATCTAATCTAATCACAATAATATCTATTTGTCACCTAAGTGGCTCGACACTTGGTGAAAAACTGGTTTGTGTCCGGGCGATGCCCGGATTGTTGATAAAAAAAAATTAGGATAAACTTTTTGGCTTAGATGTTCATTAATAAGGTCATGTAATTCCTTTTGATGATACAGGATAAACGATATCCTATCGCTTATTTATAAAATAGTGTATTTTTTGTAGTTTTGTTTGTAAATATATATCTATGTTATTATTGACTTGAAATTATTGTTATTAAACTTAAATTATTTTTATTGAACTGAAAGTACTTTTACCAAACCGAAATTATTTTATTGATGAAAACTTTTTTATTTTTTTCACTGATTCTCTATTATTATTTTTAACTAAATTAGATATATTATAAATGGATCTTATTTTAAAGAGCTTTTTAAAATGAATGTGAGGATGAAAATAGAATTGAGTTATAGGATATTTATAAAAAGTTATGATTAATTTTGTATATATGAAATATTAGAATTATATCGATAATAAAACTCTATACAACAATTTTATCTCAAAAAATCTATCCAAAAATCGCTTACTTAGCATCATACGTGTCACAATAATACCTATTTATCGCCTACGTGGCGCGACATTTGGCGAAAAAACTGGAATGCCAAGTGTTGTTGTCTCGTGGCCGTAATATATATTTCATATTATATATATCCTACTTCAATCGGCTGCGTTTTATTTACTTGATTTTTTTACTTATCTAATCTTATTTTAATTAAATTGAACTCAGTTCGATCTCTTAAATTTATTATAAAAATTCATTAACTTTAAAATAAGTAAAAATAAGGTGAAGTAAATATGTTTTTCGGGCAAAATTTCATTTTAGTAATCTTTGCTTTGAGTATTCCCGATCCCACTTTAAAAACCTAAAATTCACAAAGTGTTTAATTTCATCTTAGTTTTGTCCCGGACGATGCCCGGATTGTTGATAAAATTTTAAGATAAACTTTTTGGCTTGAATGTTAAATACGATCATATAATCTTTTTTGATAATGCAATATATTTAGACATACGATATCATATCGCCTATTTATATA